GTATGTATGTATATCTTTATATATGTATGGGTATGTGTGTATTTTATATATGCCCTCTATCTATTTATCCATTTATTTGTCAGGTGAGTGGATGGATGTTGGGTGTGTGGTCCTGTGTTTTGTTGGTGTATATCTAATATAATCCTAATCGCTATTTCAGTCTTTCTATCTTTCTAATTACTTCTCTCTCTGTTTTTCTCTCTCTCTATTTTCTCTTCACAAAAAAAACATAATGGTGTGGAGGGGATGGCTATTAGGGGAGAAGGGAGGCCATCCATAAAAAAAATCAGAGAAGGAGAGTGTTTCCTATCAGGAGCAGAACAAGGTGAAGCGGAAACTTCCAGACAGTTCTATGTGCATCACAGGTCATCATACCATTTTGTCTGAATGAAGACGATGGAGGCAGCCTACTACACGCAGGAAGTGATATACAGCTCATAGACAGTTTATTTGATGGTGCTACCACTCCTCTGAGTAGCTGCCTGTCATTCACAAAATCAGGAAGAGACTTATGCTACGAGAGGGACAATATATTGTTTTAATCATGCTTTACTGTTCTAAATATTTATGATCCAGTTTATACTTTACAAAGTAGTACATATAGTCAACATCAACTTATCTGTTTAATGATTTTTGTCTTGTGTCAACCAAAATGTGATGTTCAATAATAATAATAAAAAAATGCAACAGCAACAACGGATACTCTTCATTTCATTTGGAACAACTTGGTCACAAGAAAAATAACAATCAATACTTGTATAGCACACATATAAAAATATTAAAATTTAGAAAGTGCTGGCAAAAAAATCAGCTGGTGTTGAAGCATGACGTGGTCTGTCACGGCCGGTGTATATCTGGTCCTTCACACGCTGAGCTCGGTGGCAACCTTCTCTGTTCTGCAGTCTCCAGCTCCTCCATCCAAGAACTCATCTTCACATAGAGACGGAAACAGGGCCATCAGATCACCCACATCAGCTGAAAGATATGTAATAAAAATCAAACATTTATAGATGGTAATAGTCTACATGAATTCAAAAATCTGTCTCATTTCATGGTTCTACCGAGAATAAATTATTTATTCTCAATGATACCCAGTGGTGGACAGTAACAAAGTACTTTTACTTTATTACTGTAATTAAGTACATTTTTTGAGTATCTTTACTTTACTTGAGTAGTTATTTATTTGGGAACATTTTACTTTTACTC